CACATACACCAAGGGTGGTGGGTTCGAACCCGGCCCAGGCTAGCTAAACAACAATGACAACTGCAACAAAAAATAGCTGGGTGTTATGATAGGCGCCTGTAGTCCCAGTTACTTGGGAGGCTGAGGCAAGAGAATCACTTAAGCCCAATTGTTTGAGGTTGCTGTGAGTTGTGACGTCATGGGCACTCTACCAAGGGCAACATAGTAAGACTCTGTCTCAAAAAAAAGAAAAACAAAAACAAAAAAGAAATGAGCCAGACATATCCCCAACTAAGATAATGAACATCAAATATACTTGGAATATGATATAGCATCATTATTCCATTATTCCATTTTGCAGATGAGAAAAATGAGGTCCCCAGAAGTTAATTACTTCAGGGGTAGGATCTATGATTTTTTTTTTTTTGAGACAGAGTCTCACTTTGTCACCCTAGGTAGTGTGCAGTGGCGTCACAGCTCACAGCAACCTCAAACTCTTGGGCTTAAGCGATTCTCTTGCCTTAGCCTCCCAAGCAGCTGGGACTACAGGCACCTGCCACAATGCCCGGCTATTTTTCGTTGTAGTTGTCATTGTTGTTTAGCTGGCCCAGGCTAGGTTCAAAGCCACCAGCCTCAGTGTATGTGGCTGGTGCCATAACCGCTGTGCTACGGGTGCCCAGCCAAGATCTCTGATTTTCAAGCTTATTCACAAAGCTGTTGGGTTCTGAAGGTCAAGGACAGAGGCTGGGAAAATCAAGCAGGCAGGGTCTCCAGCCTGACCAGCCAGGGGCATGGCACAAAATGACACTTAATATTTGCTGAATAGATGTATGAGGCCTGACAATTAAGTTCACAAACTCATTCTAGAAAAAGTACTACGGACCTCACTGATGAATATCACTACAGTCACCTTTGCAGCACTTCCCTTGGCCATCTGGTGACAACAGAATACATGGGACATCTGCATCACTTTAATTCAAAAGCCCTTAATCTATAGTCCTTGGACCCTCTGAACACTAGGCAAAACTTTGCACATAGACATTTTCTACGGAGATAGAAAGTTCACATCATATTCTCAAAGGAACATGTGACCTATAAAAGGTTATGCAGCATTGCTTTAAGATACTATCTAAACCTCCACAGACATGGACAATTATGGTAATAACCAGTCTGACCTTTATCTATTTCAACTCCTCATTTTATAGCCCAAGATATAGAAAGAAATGGTGAACAACTTGCCCAAGGCCACCTGGAAGATGTGTGTCAGAACTAGATTTGGATATGGGATTTATATGGTAGTCTTTCTAATACATCAGGAGTTCTTAACCTGGGGTCCTTAGTCAGGCTTCAGGATCTATGAACCTGCTGAGTTGTATGCAAAGTTGGGAGGATATGCCTTTTTCTATGGGAAGGAGTACATGCTTGCATCAGATTCTCAAAGGGGTCCAGGACCTAAATAAGATTAGGAACCACTGCAGTCCTCAGCTCTGCCTCCCCTCTATAGCCTGGAGAATTCACAGGCAGAGCTGTTCCTGTTCTGAGGCAGCAGAACTTTGATCGGGGTTGGGGTGCATGTTAGCAAGTGTTGATGTTCTCCCCTGGACCATGCGTCCCCTCCCAGCATGCTGACACCAGCACTTTTCTCAATAACAGGCTGAGAGGGAGAAAGTGTACATGGTGACAGAACTGGGTGTGCTGAACAGGAAGGTTACAGAAACTTCTTGACATCAGCCAAGATGTCAAAGCTGAGACTTTGTACACGCTCAAAACAGTTTCCACCAAGATGGGCTCTGTCTCCTGGGAGATTGAGGGAGCAGGCAAGCCAGCAAACACTCAGTTAAATGTCGTCTTAATTTGGAAAGCGCAGAGGGACATTTTTTATCAATAGTCAGCTGTTCTCCAGTACCAGGAGTACAATGCAGTGCTTGCCCAGAGCCTGCGGGCAGCTCAGAGATTGACAGGCAGCCTTCTTGTCTGTCATCCAACTTCAGTTTGGCAGCTCACTGACCCTACCTCTCCTCTGGCTGGAACAAGAGTGAGATGGCAGCCACTACCCTTGGGACTCTAGAGAGAACCAAATCCCAAAGAAGAGAAAATAGTAAGGGGAGGAGGGAGTCTTAGCACAGGCTCAACCTGGCACATAGTATGTACCTAGAAAATAGGTCAGCATTTTCTAGTCTCTCCTAAGTTTAGAGGAGGTGTGGCACATAATCAGAAGTACTTATTCAACAAACATTTTATATTTACTGGGTAATTAGTGCCACTACTAAATGCCAGAAGTAGCACAAAAACAACAATGGGGGGGGCGAGGTAATCAGAATCATTCATTCATTCAAATTATTTAAAATTATTCATTCAAATTATTTAAAGCACCTACTATGTGCTGGACAGGCTTGGTGCTAGGCATTGGATGGATGGGGGACGGATATGCTCACTCACTCATTCCTTGAATAAATGTTTACTGAACATCTAAGTGTCCTGCACTGCACTAAAGATATAATGAACCAAACAGCCTTGTTCCCACAGTAGTGTCCCTGAAAACACTATCTCCAGACAGGGAAACTGAGGTAGTAGAGCTCCATGTGAAAGTCTCATTGCTGAGGCTGCCAAGCCCCAAACCTTGGCCTATTCAGCATCCCGACCCAGGCTGGCCTCCTGACAGAGCCATCTCCCTGTCTTCCTCACACATTTCCTCTCAGGGCACTGATGATGAATCATTAATAACAGAATTTTAATGGCAAAAGCATAGCAGTTCCTGGGCTGGTAAAGCCCATCCCCTGGGGCTGCAGTGACTGAACAGCCAAAGTTTCCTGGTCCCTTGACGACATCTCTCACAACTCTTCCATCCTTCCCTCTCCACAAGGAGAGGCCCTTCCTTTTAAAATTGGACAGCTTAAAAATATCCCACTCCCACTCCATAGTGATTGACGGGGAGGGAGAGACGCTCAGGGAGAGCTGGCCATCACCACAGGACACGCAGTATCCACCACTGTCTGAACTGCCCCTTGGCCCCAGGCCTGGCTAAGGGGAAGCCACACTCAGAGAACCTAAGAGAACAATGAGGTGCAGAAGCTAGCAGGTAGGGCTCCGTGGGGAGGGCAGGGGGTCCTTCAGGAAGGCTCAGAAACAATCTGCTGGGAAATGGGCTCTGTGCTCGGTTCAGTGAGGGAAACATCGGGTTAATCTGCTTCTTCACTGGAGGACTTCTCGGAACCTTGAATATGCTGATGCTGGATGTGTATTGTGAATCTATAAAAAGGGACGTCTGGTGCAGTGCTTCCCAAACTTATTTGACCACAGAAACCTTTTTTTTTTTTTGGCAGAGATTAATGCATGGCATGGCTTAAAACCCTGAGTTTTACCCAGCGTGTATGAAGTCCCTAACCTGCACGGAGTCGTGCTAAGTATGAGGGATACTGAAATACAAAAGCAGCTAGCTCCCTGCTCCCCAGGAGTGCCACCTGTGAGAGGCAGTCATGTGCAGGGTCCAACCGGTATAAGGCTGGTGTCCAGCACAGTCCTGGAAAGAGAGCAGGGCACAGAGCTAGAGGCAGCTTGGGCTCCAGCAGTAAGAGTTAGGTGGTGGGAAAGTATAGCAGGGACCATTCAGAGGTTGGGAAATGTAGAGTGGGCAGGAGAGAGGGAAACACGGACAATTACCCCACCATCCAAATCCTCCCACCTTGAACTAAGCTGGTTGGTCCTTCCCACTCAGTCACCAGGCAGTGGGACCTCAGGCCCTCCCACCACCCCCACCCTAACCATATCTATGCTATTGAACCTGGGCTAACATCCAGAAGCCTGGAACAGCTATTCACAAATTCAGTAATTGGGCTCTTTAGTGTTGACTCAGAAATCATTTTTTTCTAAGTCTTTCTCTTGGAAAAGCTTTTAAGACCCTTTAAATTAGTTAATGGAGAAGTTAGAGCTAAGGATGGCGCCTTGGCTTTCAGCACCCCCAACCATCTCCCAGCTCTCCCCAACACATTCAAGGATAACAGTGATAAGATAACCCAATATCTGTTTTATTAAACACACAGACATTTCTGGCATACCTTTCCCAAAGGAGGACCTCAAAATCGACACTCTCCTGCTCCTTACTCCCTCATATCAGTAGAATGATAATAATGCTTTCACATAAAATTACAGTGTGAGCTGATGGAAAAGAACCATGGGCCAGAAGTCAGGAGGCCCAGTCCTCATCCTGGGCTGACAACTTATAAAGCTATGCAGCCACCAGCATCAATCACTCTGCCTCCCCGGGCCCAAGTGAGCATGCCCTTCCATTCATCCTACTAGGTAGGAAGGCAGAGACCATTCTCCTTGGTTTTCAACTGAGGAAATAACATGGCAAGTCAAGTCCCTCCTCCAAAGTGACACAGCTAGGCAAACTGCAGAGCCAGAACTTAGGTCTGCACACACTTTCCTGTTCTTTTCTGTGCTGAGCAGGTGCTTCAGGTTTTGGGAAGGTGGCTGAATAACTGGCCTCTTCTTTGGGACTCAAAGAAGATACGTATTGTGATATGTGTCTGAGAACCCACAGGCTCCATCTTCAGGGCTGAAGTAAGGTCTGAAAAAGTCAAGCAGATACACCCCAGGGTTTAGGCAAGAAATTCCTCCCTTTCAAATCAAAGGTGAAACAAAAACAATCATGAATCCACTGTCATGAACAAAGGCAAATGCTGGAGCTAGCGTTGGGGGCAAGATGATACAGTGTTTTCCAAGTGTCAGCCATTCATGGAACCATGCCCATGATTTTTGTCACCTCTCTCTTTTTTGCTGGTCTTCTTTAATCTACTTTTTAAATTTTTTTAATTAATTTTTTTTTGAGATAGGGGCTTGCTCTGTTGCCCACATTACAGTGCAACCTCAAATTCCTAGGCTCAAGCAATCCATCTACCCCTGAAGTAGCTGAGACTATAGGCAAGTGTCACCTGGCCCAGCAAATTTTTAATTTTTCTTATTTTTGTAGAGATGGGGTCTCACTATGTTATTTGGGCTAGTCTTGAACTCCTGGCCTTAAGTGATCTCTCACTTCAGCCTCTCAGAGTGCTAGGATTACAGGCATGAGCTACTTGCCCTGGCTCATAAATACCTGGAGTTAAAACTCAGGTATTTTGGCTGGGCATGGTGGCTCATGCCTATAATCCCAGCACTCTAGGAGGCCAAGGCAGGCAGACTGCCTAAGCTCAGGAGTTCAAGACCAGCCTGAGCAAGAGTGAGACCCTATCTCAAAAAAAAAAAAATAGCAAGACATTGTGAGGGGCACCTATAGTCCCAGCTACTTGGGAGCTAAGAGGATCACTTGAGCCCAAGAGTTTAAGGTTGCTGTGAGCTATGATGCTACAGCACTCTACCAAGAGTGACAAAGTGAGACTCTGTCTCAAAAAAACCCTCAGGTATTTGTTAAAGTTAACTTTATCTGAGGTATAACATCTATAAAACTATAGGTCAATGTGCTAGCTATATTTTCATAATATATGAAATATATTCTAAATATCCTAAAATGTTCTTTGTGAACCATCAGAGACAGTTACATACACCAGATACTGGCAAACAATGATATAGCTTATGTACTAGGACACTCAGGCCTGGGGAAGGAGAAGGTAAGTGATTTGCTCAAAGACAAAGGCTAAGTTGAGGACTAACATCTCTGGACCCTTCAGTAAAGTTTTTCACAAGTCACTGAATGATCTTTTTGGTTTACAGAACAGAAATGACTGTGAAGGCAACCAAAGCTCATCTGTGAGACTATCAAGTGGGGAAAAAGGTCAAAGTCATTTATTAGCTCTGCCCTTGAAATTGCTTGGGAACCTAAGCTCCCATTGGAATTTCTACCCTGGAAAGAGAAACTAACACTATTTTTGTCATCCAAGCTCCCAGCCCCGTTGGTTCCTAAGAGGTACCACTAACTGTGTTTTATCTTACCTTAACCAAAACCCAGTCTTACGAGACTCCTTTCCAAGGGGTAAGGGTGTGGGGGCATAGCCCTGCTGGGGACTCCAGGGCTGCCTCCGAGATGCCCGCTTCTGCAAAGGACGCCAAGGTTCCCTGTGCTTGAAGCATGTGAGAGGCATGAGGTTCCTGCCAGCAGAGTATTCAGGCTGTAGAGGGAGGGGCTGGAGAAAGACTTCAGTCCTTTAACTGCCAGGTCTCTGGGCCCTGGGGCTAAAAGAAGAGGCAAGAGCAGGTCTTACTCATACTATATTCCTGAATTTCTACTTTGGAGAAAGGACTCCTTAACAGGGCTTGGTTCCCTCCGGCATTGTTAATTCAGCCCAACCCCAGTGACTCTTAGAGACCTAAAGGGTAATTCAGACAACTTTACCACATCATCTCTCCTAAAAATACCATCAGAGCTGCCACCATTTATTCACTATCTATTGTGTGTCGGGCTGTGCTAAGCCCTTTATAGTCATCTCATTTAATCTTCACAACAACCTAATGAGTAACAGGTAAAGAAACTGAGGCTCAAAGCCATGGAGTCCATGTTCAGTGAGTTAAAACTCAGGTTTATCTGACTCTAAAAGGTGTGGTTTCAACCACTGCTAGGGTGAGGAATGATAAGGAGACTAGGGGCTACTGCTTCCTAGTCACAGGCTACTGAACTTAGGGGAGGGACCTTGTTGCGTCTGTACCTGCTGCTTCCATGGAAAAGAGAGTCCGAATCCTCTCCTGGGCGGGCTCATTTCCCAGGGCTGCTGATTGCTGGTAACATCTCAAGGCCTCCCTCAGATTCCTCTGCACACCAAGGCCTTTCTCATAGCAAATGCCCAAGTGGTACCTGCTCTGTGAGTCCTAAAACAGAAGAAAATGGACAGAGACACACATACAGGTCTGAGGAAGGGAAACACTGAGGTAGGAGCAAGATGACGTCGGACATGCTGGGGCTTATCCATGCAGGGTTGAGGCCCAGCCCTGGCCCACCCCCCCACGACCCCCTGCAAGGGATCCCAGTGATGAAATGCTAGAGACCCAGGGCCTGCCCACCACAGAGGAGATGCGATCCCTTCACCCAGGGAGATTCCAGCCACAGAAGTATGGAAGGTTTTCTCACTGGGGCTGGATGAAAGTATCCAGAAGTGAAAGACAACGGGGAACAGCCTGCTGAGGGAATCCCAGGAGGCAGGTTCCTCCACTGTCCTGACAGAGCAAGGAGAGTCAGCTCTCTCAACGCCCCACACGCCTTCCTGAATCTCTGCCTGAGAGGACTGCACGGCATAAATTACAGAGAATGTGTTTCTTGTCTTTTAAAAGGTTAAGTCCTTTTTTTTAGAGACAGAGTCTCATTTTATCTCCCTCAGTAGAGTGCTGTGGTGTCACAGCTCACAGCAACCTCCAGCTCTTGGGCTTAGGCAATTCTCTTGTCTCAGCCTCCCAAATAGCTAGGACAACAGGCAGCTGCCACAGTGCCGGCTATTTTTGTTGTTGTTGTTGCAGTTTGGCCCAGGCTGGGTTGGAACCCACAACCCTCCATATATGGGGCTGGCGCCCTACTCACTAAGCCACAGCTCTGGATGGTCTCACTGAGAACCATTCTCTTCTGAAAGGCAGTATCAAGTAGGGGCTGGGTGCCCAGCTATTCAGACTTCCAATCATGGTTCTACCACTCACCAGCTATGTAGCCTCAAGCATATTACTTTACATCTCAGTGCCTCAGTTTCCTCACCTATGAAGTGGAGATAATAATGACACCTATCTTAGGAGGCTGCTGTAAGGATTAAATATATTACTATATATGGCTGGGCGCCCATAACTCAGTGGTTAGGGCGCAGGCCACATGCTCTGGGGCTGGTGGGTTTGAACCTGGCCCAGGCCTGTTAAACAAACAAACAAAAAAATAGCTGGGTGTTGTGGTGGGTGCCTGTGGTCCCAGCTACTCAGGAGGCTGAGGCAAAAGGATCACCTAAGCCCAAGAATTAGAGGTTGCCAAGAGCCTAATAGGGAGGCTGAGGCAAGAGAATTGCTTGAGTCGAAGAATTTGAGCTATAATGCCATGGCACTCTATGAAGGGTGACAAGGTAAGACTCTGTCTCAATAAAAATAAATAAATAAATAAACAAGTATGTTACTATTTAAAAAGTGCCTAGATTAGTGCTATTATCACCCCCCTTAATCTCTCCCTTTCTACTGGAACGCTTTCCTCATATTTACTCTCTCAATTTAAGAAAACAAAACACTAGGGCGGTGCCTGTGACTCAGTGAGTAGGGTGCCAGCCCCATATACTGAGGGTGGCGGGTTTGAACCTGACTGGCCAACTGCAACAACAAAAACAAACAAACAAAAAATAGCTGGGCATTGTGGTAGGCGCCTGTAGTCCCAGCTACTCAGGAGGCTGAGGCAAAAGGATCACCTAAGCCCAAGAACTAGAGGTTGCCAAGAGCTGTGATGCTACAGCACTCCACCAAGGGTGACAAAGTGAGACTGTCTCTGAAAAAAAAAAAAAGAAAAGAAAAAAAAAACTACTGTTAACTCCCAATCGTGGTCTCATTTCTTTTGTACCTTTTTTTTTTGAGACAGAGCCTCAAGCTGTCCCCCTGGGTACAGTGCCATGGCATCACAGCTCACAGCAACCTCCAACTCCTGGGCTCAAGCGAGTCTCCTCCCTCTGCCTCCCAAGTAGCTGGGACCACAGATGCCTGCCACAACGCTGGCTATTTTTTTTGGTTGCAGCCGTCATTGTTGTTTGGTGGGCCCGGGCTGGATTTGAACCCACCACCTCAGATGTACATGTCTGGTGCCTTAGCCACTTGAGCCACAGGCACCAAGCCTCTTTTGTACCTTCTATAGTCAAATTTCTAGAAAGGCTGAGCTCCCACTTCTGTAACATGCAGGCCAACATCTCTCAGGTAAATATGATGGACTCATGGCCAGGTTATAACACAGCATCAGACACATCCAACCCTGCAACGCTGCTTAATACAAACCCAGGAAGATGCTATTCCCTGTGGTGTAGAAAAGTGTGAGGTCTGTGTCCCAACACAGTGTCACATAACAGGTAACAGACCTCCCTTTGTGCACTCTCCTCTCAACATGCTTATTTGATTCAAGCAGGCCAGGGTGCCCCAGGCTTGCCTAGCACATAGCCATGCAGGACCACCCAGCCTGGGGAAGCTCTGTGGGGCTACTTCAAACAAAGGCTGGCACAGAGGCCAGTACTAACTGCAGACTTTAGTCCCCTTTTGCCAGCTACTACAGATATTTTGGGCAATAGAGTAGACCAAAAAAAAGTATTCTCATGCCCAAGAGTTCAACAAAGCTATCAGTCTGGAAAAAAAACATGGAAGCAGTAGTCACCCATATAGGAAAATTATAGTACATGAATATTACTTGTTTTAATCTAGGCCTCAGGTTCTTCAAGATGCAACTCAGAAAATATACTGATCACATACACTTTTTTTTTTTTGAGACAGAGCCTCAAGTTATCCCCCTGGGTAGAGTGCCGTGACATCACAGCTCATAACAACCTCCAACTCCCGGGCTCAAGTGAGTCTCCTGCCTTAGCCTCCCAAGTAGCTGGGACCACAGGCACCCAATACAATGCCCGGCTATTTTTTGGTTACAGCCGTCATTGTTGTTTTGGCGGGCCTGGGCTGGATTCAAACCTACCACCTTAGGTGTATGTGGCTGGCGCCTTAGCCACTTGAGCCACAGGCGCGGAGCCTGATCACATACACTTGAGGAATACAGCAAACTACAGATCACTTTCCCAGTGATTCACACTAACATAAAGCTTTGAGATCTCCTGCATCAAAGTTAACCATTTAACTCAGTATTTCCCAACCCAAATTAATTCCTTCATATTACTTACAAATGCCCCATGGATCTAATGCTCCATGGAACAAACTCTGGGCCATGGTGTCTGAATGCCAATGCCACGGTTCATAGGCAACCAGATGCCCCCACCTCCAAACTGCCCAGTGTCTCCACCTTGTGTGTCCTCTGACTTCCCTGGGCTTCCACCACTCATAATGATGCTCTTCTGTGAGTACAGCTTACAGAGTGCTCTCACACCTGTTATCTACTTAGATTTTGATCCTCACAACAATGCCGTGAAACAGTAGACAGATAACAGTAGCAGACATGCTGACTTTAAAGACAAGGAATCAGGTCTGAATCAAGAAATGACTGGGCTCAGTAGTGTGCTAGTGAATGCTTAAGGACTGGCTTTCTAAGAGGGAAAAAGCCCTGCTTTGTAGCATTTAGCAATTTCTGTTGTGCAAATACTCCTCCCACAGAGGATTCTAAGCTTCCTAGAGCTCTTACAGCCTGGTGCAAGCCAGCTCCTGTATACCACTGGGTTTGCCCAAGGGTCACACAGTAGGTCAGCAAGAGCTAAGACTTGAAGCTAGACTAACACTCCTATCAAACACTCTTCTAAGCACGGAAGAACTTAGTACTAGTTCCAAAATCCCTTCTTATCAGACTTGATCCCCAACATGCCTGGATACCAGAGATCTCATACCCCATTGCTGGCTGCAAGCCAAAGATACTTCACAGCCCTCTGCTCATCCAGGTATGGCTCCTTGGTGAAAAGCACTCCGAGGAAAGCCTGGGCCTATGGTGAAGGAGAAGGGAAAAAGGGCATCTTGGTCACTTTCAGGCTCTACATGCCCCAGGGACCTCTGACAGAGCCGGCCAATGGCACTCACCTCTCTCAAGCCTGAGTCTGCAGCCTGCTTCAGCATGGACACTGCCTTCTGCTGCTCAGGGCCCCATGAAGAGGCTGGGTCTTGTAGTAGGCACCTGGCATAGCGGTACTGAGCCAGGCTATGGCCCTGGTTTGCAGCCAATTGGTAATAAAGGACCGCCTGGGGAGAAGGGAGAAACACCCAGTCATCTGGTAACTCCATAAGCACTTTCTTCTTTGTGTGAAATTTGAAAACATTATTTTAATTAAATAATACATAACCATTATAGATTAGTCAGAAGCCAAAATTTAAAAATATAAAACAAAAATAGAAACATAAAATCCTAAGAAATCCTGCCTCCTAAAGATCATTTTCTGTTAAAATTTTAGTATATAACTTTGCAAATTTCTTCCCACATATATAAGTGTTATATACACACACACACATATTTAAGTGTGTGTGTGTATATATATAGAGAGAGAATTGGATCGTACTACACTATTTTGCAACTTATTTTTTTTAGCAATACGCTATGAATGTCTTTCCTTCCCAATAAATATAGATCTAGCACATCATTTTTAAGGCCCAAATACAGATGACATTAACCAGTTTTCCTTTTTTTTAGAGAAAGAGTCTCATCCAGCCTGGTGTGCAATGGCCTAATGATAGCTCACTATATCCTTGAACTCCTAGGCTCAAGCAATCCTCCTGCCTCATCCTCTCAAGTAGCCCCACTAACTTTTTTATTTGTAGAGATGGATCTCACTATGGTGCCCAAGCTGGTCTTAAACTCCTGGCCTTAAGTGATCCTCCCACTGCAGTCTCCCAAAGTGCTAGGATACAGGTGCGAGCCACTATGCCCAGCCATAACCAGTTTCTTTGGAAGGAACTTTATATTGCTTTCCCTTTTTTTGCCTGCACATACAACTCTAAGGAATACATTCCTATATAATCTCTTTGTGTAGTTATCCTAATTTTCTTTTTGTTTTTAGAGACAGAGTCTCACTTTGTCACCCTCGGTAGAGTGCTGTGGTATCATAGTTCACAGCAACCTCCAATTCCTGCTGCCCTAGTTATCCTACTTTTAAAAAATTAATTAATCCAGGTGGCGCCTGTGGCTCAGTGAGTAGGGTGCCAGCCCCATATACCAAGGGTGGTGGGTTCAAACTCAGCCTCGGCCAAACTGCAACAAAAAAATAGCCAGGCATTGTGGCAGGTGCCTGTAGTCCCAGCTACTCAGGAGGCTGAGGCAAGAGAATCACCTAAGCCCAAGAGTTGGAGGTTGCTGTGAGCTGTGTGACATCACAGCACTCTACCAAGGGCGATAGAGTGAGACTCTGTCACTATAGAACAGAAAACAAAAAAATTAATTAATCCTGGTGTGGCGCCTATGACTCAAAGGAGTAGGGTGCCAGCCCCATATGCCGGAGATGGAGGGTTCAAACCCTGCCCCAGCCAAAAACAGCAAAAATAATAATAATAAATAATCCATTCACCATAGTACTATTCTAGCCTCTGAGAATACAACTGCAAAGAAGGCAAAATCCTTGCTCTCCCTGAGTTTTCAGTCTAAATTCCCAAAAGCTAGAGCTTCTTCTTTATTTTTCCCCTTACAGCTGGGTTGGGACCAAGTGGGAGAGAGAAGTAGAACTTCCCCCCAACCTTGACCCCTGCTCATTTCTAGAGATCACTCTGAGCAGCCCTGCAGAGGGGACAGGCCTGGAGGGCAGGGGAGAAGGTGCAGTACCTTACTAATGTCCCTTGGGGTGCCTCTGCCATGCTCATGACACAGACCCACGTTGTACTGTGCTTTGCTGTAGCCACGGTCTGCAGCTCTCTGGAAGTAAGAAAAGCCTGCCGTGTAGTCCCCATTCCTCATGTTCTCCGTCCCTATAAGAAAGCACAGGGCACAAACAGCTTCCTCTGTGAACTTCCCCACATCGTCAACCAGATACCTATATTCTACTCATCTGATCCTAAATTCCTTCCTTTCTTTTTTGTTAGACACTATGCATATGTTCCTATCCTTTGAATAATTCACTGGTTTTCCACAGACATTAGTGGGTTCCCCCCTCCTATAAACCATTCCTCCATCTCTTGGTAGTAGCTTCCAGATTTGTCATAGGGAACAACCCCTCCTCCAGTGCTGTCAATGAATATGCCCACACGCTTCCCAATCAAGAAGACTCTCAGGAATCTGAATCTTGATCTTGTTGGGACAAGGAGAAAAAAACAGTCCTTGTAGGTTTATTTTGATAGCAGCAATCTGAAGATACTTTCTATCAGTTGCTTCCCCTGGGTCTCAGGAGCTTCCTTGATCCCTATCTTTTCAGAGGCTTGGCAGGTCACTAAATCCCAATAGACTCCTTTTGCGCTTAAGTTAGACAGAGCGGGTTTAGGTTGCTTGTAACCAACAAATCCCAAATGATACAAGTGATATTGTTAATTTTGTTTTATGAGGAAGCTGGGAGCAGTAATATCAGAAAGAGAGACAAGATCTGAATGCAGATAAGTTCTAACTCCAAAGCCCACACTCTTTTCATTGCCCAAATGAAAAGGAAAGAGGAAAGGAGCAGGCATAGCCAATTCCCAGCTCTAAACCTTTGCTCAAACTGTCTCTCTTGCCTGGGATCTCTCTTTCTGCCTCTACCATCAGGCCTCCCATCCCCTTTCTGCTCTATAAACTTCAGACCACACTCAGGTTTTAAACACTTTTTGGCGCTTACCTAATATATGTGTACTAATCCTCTCTTTCTATGAACTAAACTGTTTCAAGAGTATAAGTCCTGCCTCCTAAATTGGACTGCAAAATCCTGGAGGCAAAAACAGAAAAAGAATGTAGAAGAAATAATTCTGGGCTCAGCGCCCATAGCACAGTGGTTATTGTGCTGGCCACATACACCAAGGTTAGTGGGTTTGAACCCGGCCCGGGCCAGCTAAACAACAACTGCAACAAAAAATAACCAGGCGTTGTGGTGGGCTCCTGTATTCCCAGCTACTTGGGAGGTTGAGGCAAGAGAATTGTTTAAGCCCAAGAGTTTGAGGTTGCTGTGAGCTGTGATGCCATGGCACTCAACCGAAGGTGACATAGTAAGACTCTGTCTCAGAAAAAATAGAAGAAATAACTCTGCATAGGATGAAAGCTCTATACAAATGCAAAATATGATGATGGCTTATGCTCCCTTTCTATTCTGCCACAGTGCTTAGCACTTGCTGAATAAATGAATATATGAATGAAAGAATGGTAAGAATATTCTAAGAGAATCTACCCATCAAAACCACAAAAAGCTAATGAAGTAGAAGCCAGGTTCCATTCAGCCACCAGGGAATTACAGAAAGTTGCCTCCCTGCTTCCTGAAAACTTACTATCCAGGGTTGACAGAGCCTTCAGTCCTTGAGAAGAAGAGTCAAGAGGGCAAAGGATCCCACTCTATTCTCATACCCTACCTGGCTCCGTTGATATACCCTAATCCAGCTGCTCTTCTCAATCTCCTCTTTTTCTAGCCTAGACCACGCCTCCTCATGTTGTGCTCAGCTGTCTCTTGTTTGCTCTCTAACATCCCTATAATCCATGTCTGTCTACACAACAACCAGAGAGATCTTTGGAAAAGTAAATCAGATTGTGTTACTGCCCACCTTCCCACTCCTGCGTAAAGCCCTCCAATGGCTTCCTAGCTCATCTAGAAAACTTATTTCTTTACCTTGGCTCAGAAGGCCTCACCTTACTTGGCTCTTCCTGCTTCCCTGACTTCATCTCTTACTCTTTGCTTCAGACACACTCACCTTTCTCTTTTTCTCTTAATAATCAGAATTCAATCCTGCCTCAGGACCTTTGCACTTGCTCTTCCCTCCAGTTGGAAAGTTTTCTCCAGATGGAAATAAGAGTGGCTTGTTTTTGTCAGTTGAGTCTTAACTCAAGGTCTTCCCTTCAGTGAATACTTCCAAATTAAAAGTTGCTCCTTGCCCAAGTCACTAACACATCCCTTGTTTTATTTCCTTCCTATTTATCACCATCTGAAATTCTTTTTGTTTGCCAGTTTATTGCTTTTCTCTCTTTCAACTCAACTGTCAGCTCCATGAAAGTAAGAACTTTGTCTTATGAATCACTATATCCTTACTATCTAAACTAGGGCCTAGCAAAAGGTAAATGCTCAACAAATTTGTTCTCAGTGAATCCTAGCCTTTTACCTATCTGCCCACTAGACTCTGAAAGATGCTACTGGGAATCTGGGTCTCCACATTAGAAGGCCTAAAACTTGAGCCAATCACTATGGAGACCAGGATAAATGATGAAGGGTCATTTGGAGCCTCCAGATGTAGGCAAAGGTTCCTATTCACGCACTCAAGGGCTTGCTACAAACTTCAGGAGCCTGATCATTCCTATGTGTGGCACACAATGCTAAGTGTCCTCCAAGCTGGTTTCCTCCGTCAGACATAATAACAGAATTTTCAAATAAGTACAAAGTTATTCAGCTAAAGATGATATTTCCAGCCTCCTTTGTGACTAGGTGTGGCCACAAGCCTACATTCTGGACAAAGATCGGTGAACTTCGAGGTCATGTCCTTAAAGTCCCTAAAGGAGTGGTCCTTCAGCCTCCCCACCTTCTTCCTTCCAGCTAGCTACAATAAGGATATGAGCGAAGGAGCTGGAATAGCCAAACTGGAGCTTAATACGGGAGGCAGTTTTAAGAATGAATAAGAATAGATTTCTGGACAGCGCCTGTGACTCAAAGGAGTAGGGTACTGGCCCCATATGCCAGAGGAGGTGGATTCGAACCCAGCCCTGGCCAAAAAAAAAAAACTGAAAAAAAATAAAATAAAATAAGAATAGATCTCTGACACCTCTGAGCCACCACATGCCAGACCTGGTCTACCAACCTAGGAGAAAATAAAATCTCTCTTGTTTACACTGCTCCCTACTCTGACTGTATGTGATCCACTCCATACCCTTCCCAATTTCCCATCCTCCTGCCTTGAGGCAGGATCCATTCAGTTACCCAAGAAGTTGAAAGCAATGGAAACACTGAGCTGGAACAGCTGCTGAATGGAAGTCACAGCCTCTTCAAGGGAAAGAGTATTTGATTTTTCTTGTTCCTACAGAAGGAATATAAATATTAATCAAGGGAGGATTCACTGGAATTGCCACCTGCTGAAGAGAATGTTATAGGGATCTGGGTGGTCAACTCTGGATAATACCTTCTTTTCACTAGTGGGCTGAGGCTGGGCTGGTTTTGCCTTGGACTTGAAGCTATTGCTGGCATGCAAGAAACCCAAATCACTGGGATCTACAAAGGAAAGGCCAATAGCCAGTAAAGACAACAAAGAAAGATATTACTTCTTCTTTTCTCCACCTCTCCTAATCTACCCAGGCTCTCCATCCAGCACCTTTCCTGAGAACCAAAATAATTATGAATCATCCCAGAAGGCATAGGCCTCACTGGAATGATGATTCCCTTAATTGGGAATATGCAGCAACCAACATCCATCTGCCTAACTCCCCCCACCCCGCCTTCTGCTAGTTCTCTAAGGTGGGGACATACCTTCCTCTGAGGGGTCCTGAGGACTGGCTGCTCTCAAGGAACTATATGAAGAGAAGCTCTTGGGCTGAGCTGAGGGTTCTTCCAGGCCCAGCCTAGGTTCCCTGTGGTCAGAATGCCTGGGAGATGGGCTGTCAGGGCTGGGGAGAATGTGTTGCCGCAGTGCTGTAAAGAGCCAGCAAGAGTAGTCAGGTCAGAAGGGGATCAGTGTAGCCTCCTCGGGCTTGACTGAATCGTCCCTGAAGTTTTAGAGACCACAAAAAAATGTCTAAAACTCCTGCAACACTTCCTTCACACTCCTCCTTGTCTATTTCCTTTGTTGGTTTCCCTCCTCAGGGACCTAGAGGGGTCTGTATTTGATCTTCTACCCTAAGCATCGATCATTCTGTCTGAATTCTTCCAGTAGCCAGGAGGCATCTACCTTATTCACTGTTGTAGCCCCAGCATCTAGCATTTTCTTTAATGGTGATACTGATAGTGATTATCATCATAATAATGACAAGAACTAATACTTAAACTAGTAATTACTGAGGACTTACTGTGTGCCAGGTACTGTTCTAAGTCCTAGACATGTATTAACTTATTTAGTCCTCCCAAGAAACCTATGGAGGGGGTTTTATTATTATCCCATTTTGTAGATGAAGAAACTGAGTCACAGAGAAGTTAAAATTAACTTGTCCAGGGATACGAGACTAGTATGCAACAGTTCTGGGGCTTAAAGCCTCACAATCTGACTCAAGAGCCTCAAGTGCCAGGCTATATTGCCTCTGTACCATGGCACATGATAGGCATTCAATAAAGAATGACAGAATGAATAACTGGAGAATGACCTAACTGGCTGACAGCTAGGCAGGAAGCCACACCTAGAATCTAAAGTAGTCTGGACTTGTGGGGCTCCCTCCATGGGAGGTGAGGGAGGACATGGAAAGACACTGAGGAGCAGGTGTGGTTCACACCCTGGGTGGAAAAAAAACCCCAGTTCCCTTCCTCTGACTTCAGATAGGAAAAGCAAGGAGCTGCCGATGGCTCTTTTCCTGAGGTGTGTCCAGGGATGCTTCCTGGCCCAGAGAAACTCCCAGCCCAGCCCTTCTGTCCCTAAGACTGAGAACTTACACCAGGAGCATGTGGGCCACAAGGGAAATGACAGGAAACGGTCTAGGGGACTATGCCAAGTGCAGTGTTCCACTCGCCGAGGTCCTGCTGGCAAGGATGCCTGGAAGTGGATCTGCCTTGCCAGCTGTAGGGCCAGCACAGCCAGAGTACCCTGGGAAAGATAGCACATTAGTGACAGTCTTCTATTAGTCAACTCCTTCAGACTTGGCCTTCAGCTTAAATAAATATCCTTGGGAAGCCAGCCTGGGGCAGCTCCCTCACTATGTGCCTCTGTAGCACCGAAACTTATCTTCTGGAGCCCTGATACCACTGGTACTTAAATCATCATCTTTGCAATTATTCACCTAAGATCCATCTCCCCTGATAAGTCTCTAAGCATGACAAGGTTAGGGGCCATGTATGTTTTGGTCACCAGTGTATCCTTGGTGCCCAGTACAGAGCTAAGATATGGTAGTGTCCCAATAAAAACTATGTGCATGCTGAATAAATGCATGAGTGATGACTGAACAAAGAAAGTCTAAGCAGACAAAAAGATAATGTAGTAAGTTGGGACTTAGCTGCAAATGCAGCAATAGGTCAGAGTTCCCCATAAGGCTCACTTTCCACTCTGACAGAATGCACCACCTACCCACCCCCAGCTAAGCCACCCCACCACACGCACATCTGCAGATGTGAGCTTGGTGAGGTGTTTCTTCTCTGTCAGGTCTGCAGAAGACCTGAGCTAGCTCTTATTCCAGTGACTGCTTGGTTTCCCTATCTCTACCTATACTGTATTCAGAAAGAGACACGCATGTACTTATTTGTTTCAACAGGCACTACATACAATGACAAATAAGATAGATATACCTTGCCTGAATGAGAAAGACAAAATCCAAGTACATAGAAAATAAACAGGGCAGTGCCTGTGGCTCAAAGGAGTAGGGCGCTGGCCCATATGCCAGAGGTGGTAGGTTCAAAATCCAGCCCTGGCCAAAAAAAAAAAAAAAAAAAAAAAAAAAACTGCAAAGAAAATAAACACAATAAATACCGAGAAGAAACAAGTCAAGGGGTTATGTAGAGAATAAAAGGGAGGCTCAGCACCTGTGGCTCAAGTGGCTAAGGCGCTAGCCACATACACCTAAGGTGGCGGGTTCAAATCCAGCCCAGGCCACCAAACAACAATGACAACTACAACCAAAAAATAGATGGGCATTGTGGTGGGCGCCTGTGGTCTCAGCTACTTGGGAGGCTGAGGCAGGAGACTCTTGAGCCCAACAGTTGGAGGTTGCTGTGAGCCGTGATGCCACAGCACTCTACCCAGGGGGACAGCTTGAGGCTCTGTCTCAAAAAAAAAACCAAGAGTGAATAAAAAGGAGGACTGACAAGGAGTCAGGTAAAGACTCTCTGAGCCCCCATCATTGGCATGCAACTTATTACTTAACAGTTCAGGGCCTGAGTGTCCTCATCTGTAAAAGATTATATTTCCCTAGCAAGATTTTTGTACCAATTAAGCAAGAAAATACATGTGTGATGTAATACTTTACATTAATAAATAATGCCATTTAATATTTATTATAAGCTTCATGAAGGCAAGAATATATCTATTCTTGTCCTCTGCTATGATCTTAGTGCCTAGCAAAAATGTCTGGCTCAGAGAAGGTGTTAAATAAATGTTTTCAAATGAAATAAGGAATAAATACACAGTAGGGGGAGGAAGGGCTGAGGGGGAGGGAGAGCAGCAATATCTCCCTGAATCTGCTCTAACGCTATGGGTTACTCATTGTGTGGACACCATGATGCCCTAGCTCTTGTTTTTAGGTAAGGCATACTTCCATGCAGGATTGTTCTCATCCACACTGAAGGTTGAGGACAGGGCTGGGAAAGCCTTACCCATGATATGGCACCCCACAGCGTGTTTGGGGAGACACACGTAGACTTCCATTGGAAAGTATCTTTCCATCCATGGGACCTTGGACCACTGCTCGTGCCTGGGCCATGTGGGCCCGACCTAGATGATGCAGTAAGAGCTGTCAAATTTTGTCCAAAATGAGGGCAAAGGGAGGACATAGGAGGAGATAAGTGACAGAATGGCAGTGTCTTACCTGTCAAGGTTGGGCACAGGGACCAGGAGGGTGGAGGAGGTAGCCTGAGGCCCATTTGGAATAGTGGACTTGGGGGTCACCCCCCGGAGGCTGGATGCCAGCACACGGGGAAGAGCTGTACAGAGCAACAAGGATAAGTCACCTCACTGGAAACAGGATTGAGGCAAACTGCCGCAACAATCTTCTCTCTGACCTGTGACAGAGCTCCACCAATATTTCTCAGGGTAGATTATCTACATCTTACAAAAGCTCCCATGCAATTCTGATGCCCTTCTACGGCTGCCAATCATTGTTCTAAGATGACCAGGCATTTCACACATACTTTTTCAATGTTTGGGGCGCTTTGTATCTAAACTAGTCCTCTTTTCAATGGGTCCGCCTAATCCATTCCCTTCAAGTCTTCTTTCGTTTCCTCTGCCCGCCATCTCCAGCCATTTGACTCCTCCCTCTTCCAACAGCCCTATCCACTCCTTGAATCTAGCCTCCAACCTCTTCTCACCAGTCCCAACCACAGCTCAAATCCACAATCCCCAAAATGTGGCCCCGCCCCTTTAGGGCTCCGCCCTTCTCTCTAACCCCGCCCACCACTGCTTCAGGTGTTTTCTCATGCCCGCTCCCACCTCTGGTTCAGAGTCTCCGCGGCCCCAAGGTGTTCGCGGTTCGATCGCCCCTTACCTCGGCCCAGCAGCCCCGGGAGGCGCCACATGTCGCTGCCAGCACCATAGATAGCTCGCAGCAGCAAGAGTGAGGCCAAGCCACTGGACAGCGGCCACTGCCCGGCTGTGGCGCCCGGAATGGCCGAGGCCCTCAGCCAGCCAATTAGAAAGGAGCTCAACCGGAAAGACAGCGCTCAGCGAGAGGAAGTGGGCGGTGTGGGGCGTGCTTTAGGCTAGCGGGGAGGTGAACTGCGACAAGGGCGTGGGCACATGTGCCCTGCTTTCCGCGAGTGAGGCGTCCTTTGCCGCGCCCACGCAGTGGCAGGGTGGCTGGTGTCAAAGCGGAACCGCTCAGAAGCCGGACCACTGAGAAGTGGGGCTAGAGCGGCTGTGGTGGAGCAAGAGAGGACCTTGCGGTCACCGTGGGGCCGCGAAGGAAGAAAAGGCTTTCCCAGGCCCCAGATTTGAGGAGGTGGGCGGGTCCAAGCTCGGTCGGTGGAGCAGAGGACCCAGTTAAAGAAGCCAGTAGTCCGAGCTTTCCGTCCGATGCCATCTGCTTACATGTTAGGTTGGGCCTGAATGCACAGACGACGAGCAGGGTTTTGATTCCAGAGTTTTTTTTTTTTTTTTTTTTTTTTTTTTTGAGACAGAGCCTCAAGTTGTGTCCCTCAGCCAGCCAATTAGAAAGGAGCTCAAC